TGGTGAGCTGGAACCAAGCAATATCCAGTGACTCCTGCCCTGTTCTTTGCATGCGTCTCTCACTGTTGGGACCAGGATTTTGTATGGAAAAACAAAGAGCTAACCTTTTCCATGGGGCACAAAATTTAGCCATATACCAACTTGTTTTCCAAGTAGGAAAAAAATGGCCTAAATACTCCCCCACTTATTTTCTGTCTCAGGAAATATTTGGAAACATATTGTTGGGACAATGAATTTTCTATTTCCAGTTTTCTTGCTCATTACCTAAGGGCATTCATTACAATACAAAATTTAACTGTAAGACAAAATGTAATTTATATCATAGTGGTTCTCAAACGAGGCAATTCTTTACCATGGGGGCGTTTTGGAAATTTGTCGGGATGTTTTGGTTGTCAAATTACTGCAGGAGGCACTACTGGCATTTAGTGTGGGCTGGGACCAGGGATTCTAAGTGAATTTTAATATGTGGGCCATGTATGAAGAATTGTTACCTGTTTTGTAGGACTTTTGAATGTCCCACTAAGCCATCATATAGGTAAATCAATCAATCTACTTAGAGTTATTTGAGTTTAAAATTGAGCTGAATTTTACATATTAACATAGGGTGTACACTGAATTTTCCAGCAAGGCAGCTACCATGCAAATGAAAAAGACTTCTTTATCCTGTGTAGAACTTTACCAAGAGTAGTTCACCCTTTAAGAAAAATCACATCATTGATAGCAACACCCCTCAGGGTATTTGAGTTATAAATACCACACCTTCTTATCGGTCTGTATTTGTTGCTGTCACATTCCTAGAGATTTAATGTATAAGTTATAAGTGCAAGTGTCTGATTACTTCAGTAGATGTTCTAGCATAGTGGGAGCTAACCGTTTATAAATTTAGATAGATGTTAATTTATTTTAAATTATTTTACTTTTATTTCTGTTACGGTTAAGGTATAATATGAATCTGTTTTGAAATTTTATGGGTAGGTAGCCTACATTATCTATGACTTTCATTTTAGGATGATAAAGGAAATGTTATGAAATATTGTTTATAGAAAGAAATCACTCTGTCTGATATGCTTGGAATGCTGTGACGTCGTGGAGCTAGTTGTGGACTCCTATTTTCTGTAGCAAAACACTACTAATAGAGACTGTTTCTATTAAAAGTTGAAATCCTTTGACTTGGTTGAAGTTTACTACTAATTGCTAATTTAAAAAATTTGCTGATGAATTGAATGGTATAGCATTTCCTCCAATGAGTTTTGCAGGACTCTAGTTCCAAATGAATGGATAGTTATAACCGAGGAGAATATAAGACAATTTCATTTTAAAGTTACTTTGGGAAATGGTTGGAAAAATAAGCTAAACAGGGTTCTTTGCTTCAGAAACTTCTCAGAGCCTTTAATATGAATACACTGATCTGTAGTATGTATCTCCAAGTGGACAGTCAGCATGGTATGTTCATTTGACCAAGGGATATTTGGAATTATGTCATAATCTTTAAAAAGCAAATTTCCTAAAGGACTTTAACACATTTTTGTTCTAAAGTTAACAGGTATTGCTAATTACCAATGGATCTTCATCTTGAGGAAATTATGTGTAACAGTGTCTTCATAATGATACAGTTCTGCAAATGTAAAGTGTTATATGAAGACAGCCTGTGGTGAACATGCACTGCTTTTGTCTGGCCAGTGCTCTTTCCTTTTCTTCTCATAACTGTGTTCAGTCTCCATCTTTTTGCTTTAGGGAGCTGCATCTTCCTCTCTTCTACCTGTGATTCTGATGGGACTTCATGGTTAGGCACATGACCCTAGTCTGACCAGTTGCAGTTCCCACCCCTTTGGCTATAGAGGTAAGTCTAGATTTTGGTGTGTATCAAATATGGGCCAATCAGAATCATTCCCTGGGATGTTTTTTTACACTAAAATTGGGTAGAAGAAAATCCCTCCACCTAAGCCACAATACTTCAGGATGGAAGGCTGAAGCTACCAATGGATGGACTTCCCACCATGGGGAAACCACCTTCTGCAATAAGTAGAAGTCTTGGCAGCACTGGCCTGGTTGCTGTGAGTTGATCACTCAAGCCAGTGTGATCTTCACAAGCCCCTCTAAGACTCAAGCACTTTATTCATTCATAAAACCTTACAAGATATCTGATCTGCTTATCCCTCAGATTGTTGGAGGGTACAAATGAGACCCATCCTAATTTGCCCCCAGCATATACTGTAATACCAGTTTTGCCAGTAAAGCAAGTCCATTCCAAGCATTTATTTGACAAAGTCACAAATGCAGATGTGTTTCACTGGAGCCAGTTGGAGTTTCTGAAGTTTGTATGTCAGAATGGATTATTTCTATTCAAACGAAGGAGGGACTTATACTGGCAAGATACAAAGAGGAAGACTAGACTTTGTTTTCAAATTCGTATGGTCTCAAAATCACTTCCATCTATACTCCCCTAGAGAAAAAAAAAAAATGTGTTCATAAAAAAAATCTAAATTCTGACAAACCTTTTCAGTAAGAATCTATAGATCAGTCAAACTCTAAAATCCTTGGTACCAAAGAATATGTTTTGGGTTTTGTTGTTGTTGTTGTTGTTATTTGTTTGCTTGCTTTTGAGACAGAGTCTTGCTCCATCACCCAGGCTGGATTGCAGTGGCGCTATCTCAGCTCACTGCAACCTCTGCCTCCCGGGTTCAAGTGATTCTTGTGCCTCAGTCTCCCAAGTAGCTGGGAATACAGGCGCCCGACACCACGCCCAGCTAAATTTTTTTCTTTCTTTCTTTCTTTTTTTTTTTTTTTGTATTTTTAGTAGAGATGGGGTTTTGCCATGTTAGTCAGGCTTGTTTCTAACTCCTGACCTCAGGTGATCCCCCTGGCTTGGCCTCCCAAAGTGCTGGGATTACAGGCGTGAGCCACCACACCTAGCCAGTACTTTAATGCACTCCCCAAATGATACTCATGCTTGCTGAATTTTTAGGTCCACCATGTTAAGGGAAAGAGCACCAGCAATAAATTGAGAGACCTGATGTCCATTTATAAGGTACCAGTTAATTCAGAGTACACAGAAAGTTCAGTCAAACTCAAATGTATAGTTCATAAAATTGTGTGATATATTATTAAGAAAACAACCTTGCAGAACAGTATGTATAATATACTTCCATTAAAAATTATGTTGGCACAATTATGCATGCCAACAAAAATTATACATGGCATAAGCATAGAAAAATTGGAGGGCTCTACACCTAACAGTAGCAATTATTGCAGAGTGCTTGCAAGGCACTATAATTTCATATATGTCTATAGTGCTTGAGTGTTTATGGTAAGACTGTGTTACACATGTCATCATGAGACATTTATAAAGAGTCTGTCATCTATCTATCCATCTACTTGCCTATCTACCTACTTACCTAACTACCTATTGCTTCAACCATCCATCTCTGTGAAAGAATGCCAAGTTGGGTTTCAGATTTAAGTCCTCGTTGGGCTTTCAACTAATAGGGCTACAGGAAAGCAATGTGATGGTTAAGAACTTGATCTCTAGATTCAGAAAAGACTTAGGTTCCAAACCTGACTTCATTACTTATATTAGTGACATGACTTAATTCCCCTTATTTCACTAAGTGTTTGTTTTCTCATTTGCAAAGGAGGATAAAAATACCTATCTCACCTTCCAAAAACCTATAACCCCAGTCCAATCATAGAGAAGAAGATCAGACAAATTCCAATGAAGTGGCATTCTAAAAAAATACCTAATTGGAGCTCTTCAAAACTATCAAGGTTATCAAAAAAAGGAAAGTCTGAGAAACTGTCACAGAAGAGCTTACGGAAACACGACAACTAAATGTAATGTGATAACCTGGATGAGATCCTGGGATAGAAAAAGGACATTAGGTAAAAGCTAAGGAAATCATTGGAATGAAGCATGAACTTTAGTTAATAATAAGGTAACAATAGTGGTTCATATAATATAATAAATGTACCACACCAATGTAACCTGTTAATAAGAGAAACTGGTTATGGAATATATGGAAACTTTCTGCACTATCTTCTCAATTTCTCTGTAAATATAAATTGGCTTAAAAACATAAAAAAGACAATTTCCCAGAATGTCCATGGGGCTTAATCAATACAAATGTTACAAATTAGTACCTTGAAGGCACAGAATGGGGGCCTAATAAACAGTAGCGGTTACTATTATCATCTCATGTCTTTGTTTTCCTCATTTCCCATCTCTAGCCCATGGGGATTGGACTCAACCTCTGTGAGATCTCTTCCAGCTCGAAGATTCTGGGCCTCTGTGGCTTAAATTCCTCAGGCATGATTCGCTGAATGTGAGTCATGTTCACCATCCTTCCGACTTCTGTGGATTTGTCTCAGTAACGCCGTACCTTGCTATTTACTTTCTTCATTCTTCGGCTGTATGAGGCACTTACGATCATTCCGCAGTTTCTTTCATAAAATGATTGAGACTCAGAATGACTAGCCACACACATTCCCCACAAAAGACCTCCAAGAGTCTCCAACCAGATCCAGATTCTGACATCAGAGGGGCTTCTACTGTCCCTATCACAAAAGTCAGTGTATCTATGACTGTGACAAGGCCCCAGAGAGGAATGAGAGAGGCGGGGGGGGGCGCCACTAAAAAGTGTTCCAAGAAAGAAAGAACTCCCCCTGCTCCTCTAACTAAACCCAGGATCCTCAGGCAGGGTTCCTATCTGTGTGTTTTAGGACTGCTTCGGATCCCATCAGCTCTCTTGGAACCTAATTGTTTGCAGGGCCCCATCAGCTCTATCCAAGCAGAGAAATTAACTACGCTCAAGCTGAAGTGTGCATGCTCTTCTGTGTGGCCCCAGAATGACTTGAGTCTACTGAATGGAATTTCATACATGTGTTGGGTGAGGTGATTTATTATAGGCGGTAATGGAAATTAATTTCACTTTGAACCCTGGGGCACCAGAAAATGCCTAAGTACTGAGCCATTTTCTTTAAGTAGGCTGTAAAGCTGCTACTTGCTTCTGACTGGGCAGCGAGGTGGCGATGACCACTTGTAAAACAATGAGCTGGAATAGGAGGTTAATGGGCCCTGGCCGTAGGCAGGCAGTCTGTAGTGCTCATCCTACCAGTCCCTGCTGTCACGGGATGCAGTCTTCCTGGCGCCACAGATAACAGAGATGCTGGAGCAGTATTTATATGCTAAAGCAGAGCCAAAGAAGGGGAAAGGGAAACATTCCTGGGGAGCCAATGACTGTTCTTTGACCGTGAGTATTTGGCTGAAAGGGGTGGCCCTGTCCCTAGAAGTTCCCTTAGTAGGAAGCAGAATGGCTCAGAGCTATAAATGGGCCTGAGGAGATCCTGTTTCTAAAGATGGCCTCGGCAAAGGCTCTTACTGCTTAATATGAGATAGAGAGTATTTTCCAAGACAGCTTCTGGGTTCTAAGGCTTGCCATCATGGTCTTCTGATGTAAAGTTTTATAAAGGCATTTTAGTCACTATTGAAGGGCACAAAATTCAGGGACCATTCTAAGGCCTCCAGTGAAGCCATTCCACAGACCTTGTTGTTACACCACAATTATAAGTTTAGGTAGAAGATCTTTCAGGGGGAAGATCCTTCTGGGAGATGGGGCTCCTCTTGTAATTCATACAAAAGCCACACATGTACTTACTATATTTAAGGAGCTATTGCTGTGTAACATCATGGATTAATATAAATACATATAAGTAAAAATTAGTTCTTGCTTATTTCCTCATTAGAATTTTTTATTTACTACCATATTAGATTGTTTGCTACTATAGAGCTTAGATGCCTGGCACGTAATACACCTTCAATACATTTTTTTTTTGAATAAATGAACTATAGAAAGTATTATAGTGACTATAAAGATGGACAGGGCACTGAACAGGTCTTTAAATAATTTCCAACTTACTGAAGAAAGGAAGCATTCATTTTATTTATTCATTTATTAATTTTTTCAACAAATACTTAATGCATGTTATACTAAGTACCAGGTGATACTCTGGGATTTAGACAGTGAATGAGATCCATTCTGGGTTCCACCTAATGACTACTAAATTGGATTATCCAGTTTTTAAGTCTCAGGAATCAGTATTTTTTAAACATTCCCCAACCCCCAACAAACGATTATATAGAACAGATGGTTTGAGGAGTCTCAACCCAGTATCACATAGGACTGTCAGAGTTGTTTAAACCAGAGCAACTCCATCTTGAATAGGAGCTGAGTAAAGCAAGGCAAAGACCTACAGGACTGAATTCCCAAATAGTTAGGCATTCTAAGTCACAGCATGAGATAGGAAGTTGGCAGAAGATACATATCATAAAGACCTTGCTGATAAAAGAAGTTGCAGTAAAGAAGCCAGCTAAAACCCACCAAAAGCAAAATGGTAATGAGAGTGACCTCTGGTCATCCTCACTGCTACACTCCCACCAGCACCATGACAGTTTACAAATGCTATGGCAACATCAGGAAGTTACCCTGTATAGTCTAAAAAAGGGAGGCATGAATAATCCCCCCTTGTTTAGCATATAATCAAGAAATCACCATAGAAATGGGCATGGAACAGCCCTCGTTGTTCTGCCTATTCTTTTACTCCTCTACTTTCCTAATGAACTTGCCTTCACTTTCTGAATTCATCTCAAATACTTTCTTGCATGAAATCCAAGAACCCTCTCTTGGGATCTGGATTGGCACCCCTTTCTGGTATCATCTTTCTCATGAACCCCAAAGGGACAAAACTGAAGAAACTCCTGATCCAAAGGAAAATCATCTGCATACACGTATTGGCTGACTTTGGGTAAGTGGGGTGCATTTACCGGGGTAAAGGGGATTGGGTTAGAGGCCCAACTTAGGTAAGTTAGAGTCCCTCCTAAAACAGAGAGGGTTAGAGGCCCCTCTTAATAAAAGGCAAGGATGCTTGACCAAACCTGGCTTGGAAGCCCAACTTAGAAAGGTTAGAGTCTTTCCTAAGATGTAAAGGATTAGAGGCCCCCTTCATTAAGGTTCCTTTTAGCTTAGAATGGGTTTGGCACCAGGGTATGTTAACTGCCATGCTCTTTGTATTAACCTGCCTTGTCCTCTTTGCTACATGAATCAACTTCTTGGTTGCTGTCTCCGTTTCACTGTCATATTCTGGAGACTTCATTTAACTGGCCAGTTATGTCTTTGGGAACTTGACCTTGTAACCATGTGATGGTACTTTCTCTTGATTTCTGCCATCTGGAGGACAGGAATTTTGGGTTCTTGTCAGTAGCCCTAAAAATTGTCTTAAGCAATTAAAGGCCTTTGAAAGCTCAAAATTAGCTGCTGTAGGCTCCTGGGAAGGGCAATGGAAACTGTCCAATGCTGTAGCTCAGTGGTTAAGACTTTGCCATTTTGTAGTGGCAGCCTGGGTTCAATTTCTAGCTTAGAGAGTAAGTCCTTTTTGGTTTGATATCTGTTTGACCCTTACCATTTTATGATTCTCTTCCCCTCCATGAACCATCTTGAATTTTTCTTTCTCTGAGCACAGAAATATTGGCTGTTTGGCCTGGCTAAAGTTGGGTAATAAGAAATTTAAAAGGACTTTTTTAAACGACTGCTATGGTTAAAAGTCAGCTTAACGAAAAGTGGATATTCAAGCTCTAACAGCCTGGGACTCCCTGGGAAAAACAGGAGGTGCTATAAACCCCGTTTTGGGAAAAACCTCTGTTTTCCTCCTGAAACCTCAGAAATCGGAAGTGGATAGATCCCTTTCAAAATCCTAAGGCTTTCTTCTGTTTTGCATTGTGTTATCTGATGTTTTCGACTTTTGGGGGTGTCAGAAATTACTTCGCATTATGAGAGAGATTTGTTGTGTAATAAGTAGGAAATATACTTTTGGGAACAGCTAACAGCAGTTATGGGGAATACTCAACTTTTCACACGTTTGGATCAGAGAAGCATGTTTTTGGCCACCTAGAAATATGGAGATGTCCCCACCCCTTATTGAGAGATAAGACTCCCATGGGATGGGCTGATTCCCTCTTTTTAGGATCCAAGATCTGATATAAAAATGGAGCCCTTCACTGGGGGGATCTGTTCTGCCTTTCAGCTGTGCCTGCTTGCTATAGAAACTGCATGCTTTCTTGGCTCTGTTCCTTCTAGGGCTCCACTCTGAAGCCAGTAATCCAATTAAGAAACTGGAAAATGAAAAATCTTACAAGTACTAGATCTCCTTCTGTCTTTGTATTGTTTATATATGGAAGAGCTTTGATTGGCTTAAAAATAATAAGTGCTTAAATCACATATTTTGTTAGAAAAGTAAAAACTGTTATGCTTTTCAGTCCACGTGACTTAAATAATCTTTGGGAAGGAAAAACAGTTTTATAAGCAAGGAGTGTAAGGACAAAGAAATGTGTTTTTGGTAAAAGATTATAAGAAGTCATGGGAATGTGGACTTTTTTGCCTAGTTTAAAGAGGATTGCTTTAAGTTAAAAAAGACCAAGCTGAAGGTTTAAGCAAGTTGTGGAAGGTTTGTGAAAAATTAATTGTAAAAGCAACTATGTGTGTGGACATATTGGCTAAAATTAAAGGGATATTATTCAGTTTTTTCCATTAATTGAAAACTGGAATAAAAGTACAAGCTTTTCTTAGCACTGATCTCTTTAACAAAAACTTATAAAGGATTATAAAAGGCTTATCAAGAAGAACATTAAAATTGGGTAGATATGTCTACAAAGTTTTATTAAGGATAGGGTTTAACATTAATAGTATACTGATGTAGAAATAACATTTGATGCCCAGGTGTGGCACTTTGGGAGGCCGAGACAGGTGGATCACGAGGTCAGGAGATCGAGACCATCCTGGCTAACACAGTGAAACCCCCGTCTCTACTAAAAAATACAAAAAACTAGCTGGGCGAGGTGGCGGGCGCCTGTAGTTCCAGCTACACGGGAGGCTGAGGCAGGAGAATGGTGTGAACCTGGGAGGCGGAGCTTGCAGTGAGCTGATATCCGGCCACTGCACTTCAGCCCAGGCGACAGAGCAAGACTCATCTCAAAAAAAAAAAAAAAAAAAGAAAGAGAGAACATTTGACTTATTTTTATGACTTATAAAAGTCATACAGGAAGTACTGTCAAATATAAAATGGTGTTTGGCTTTCTTTGGGGTTTATTTGTATAAATGTGTTATTGGTATGTGTTCCAAAATTATAAGTAACTCCTATATTTCTAATATGACTTAGCATGTGTTATTAATAGTTACAATTGTTACATAAAATCTTTTTGACTTTTTGCTTAAAATGTTGCAGATCCTTTGTTTTTCAGAGTCAAGAAAACTTTTATTTTTAGTTATTTACAGCTTGTAGTAATTGAGTAAAATATACTCCTGTCAACAAAATTTGGAGCATTTGTATTTCTCTCCTCCTGATTTCTCCAGAATTTGGAAACTAGTTGTGAGTATTCTTAGCTTATGGCAATAAAGTTATTTGCATAAGTGTAATAAGAATCTGTTTTCATTTGTAACAGGACACAGTAGGAGAAACTGTTTATTTTACTAAGGCCTTGACTGGTGTGCTTCCCTTTAAGGAATCAAACTTGAATGACTTGTAGAGCCAGTAAAAGTCCCTTGGGAAAACTGACCTCATACCTTGTCTACACATTCCCTGTGCAGGGTTTCTGATGTGGTAAGTAAAGAATGTCACTTTCTAACAGGCCCAGGAGCCCCAAGTTACCTTTAATTTACCCAAGAGGAGAGGAACTTACCCAACTCGTACAGGTATTTGAGGGTACAAACCCATGGCTGGGCCTGGCTTTAAAAACAGTCTTATCTGAGATTCCTTATGGACCAGAAGTTCAATCAAAGCCAATTAAAAGAAGCCTATGTGGCAAATAATTATGCTTGCTGCACTTTATACAAATAATCAGGCCAAGTATGATAAAACAAATTGGTCTTACAATTGTTTGTCTTTAGTAAAAATGGGAGACTGGAGAGAGAAAAATTATGTTTCAAAAACTATGTTACACCTGTTATTAGATTCTAGTCTCAGTTATTTTTTAGTTTTTGTCTTCAGTTTAGACTAACCATGCTTATTTCTGTGAAACAACCAGTAGTTTCTGACTGCTGCTCAGAAGTAACAAGAGGGTTGGGTCATGTAAAAATCTAAACCAGTATTCTAATTCTGAGCTCATATTGGAATCAGCTAGTGACTCCATATCAGCTTGGTTCCAACAGTTGAACAGTTCATGGAAAACATTCTAATTTCATTTACTTGGGATACTTTTACTTATTTTGCTTTACTGTTGTGGAATATATTGTGGCTGTACATTTTGTGTAGGAATGCAGAATACACTTCCTAAATATTTTCTTAAATACTTATTACTCTTCCAGATATTACCTTTCATTGGAACTTAAGAGTTATGAATGGCCTTCACCCATGCTGATGCTTTCTGACTGAGCTGCTCTCTACCTTGAATACAAGAGACTCTAATAGTTAGGCAGGAATATCATTACGCCTATTCAGCATGAAGAAGTTACAGAAGATGGATCTGTGTCCTTCTGCAGCCCTTAGGATTAAGGGTTCTCCTATAAAAGCAAGAGCGGAAATATGAGAGGCGTTTAAACCAGAGCAACTCCATCTTGAATAGGAGCTGAGTAAAATAATGCTAAGATCTACTATGCTGCATTCCCAGATAGGTAGGCATTCTAAGTCACAGGATGAGATAGGAGTTTGGCACAAGATACAGGTTATAAAAACCTTGCTGATAAAACAGGTTTCAATAAAGAAGCTTGCTAAAACCCACCAAAAGCAAAATGGCATTGAGAGTGACCTCTGGTTGTCTTCACTGCTACACTCCCATTAGCGCCATGATAGTTTACAAATACCATGGCAACATCAGAAAGTTATCCTGTATGGTCTAAAAAGGGGAGATATGAATAATCCACCCCTTATTTAGCATACAATCAAGAAATAACCATAGAAATGGGCAACCAGCAGCCCTCAGGGCTGCTCTGCCTATGGAGTAGCCATTCTTTTATGTTTTGACTTTCCTAATAAACTTGCCTTCACTTTATAGATTCAGATCGAATTCTTTCTTGTGTGAGATCCAAGAACCCTCCCTTGGGGTCTGGAACAGAACCCCTTTCTGGTAACAATCATGCTTGCATTTTTATGTATGAGCTTTCTCTTTCAACCATTCTACATCAACTTCTGTTTTTCTCTGAGTTGTATTTTTCATTGTCTGTTCTACTTTTTTATTTGTAAAAGAAAAACAGAAAAAATATGTGTAATCATAAACTACTTCAAATCCTTTAGGGAAAGATACAAGGCATAAAACTGTACAACTAAAAGTGCATTTTTGGGCGGTGACTCATGCCTGTAATCCCAGTACTTTGGGAGGCTGAGGCCAGCAGATCATGAGTTCGAGAGATCAAGACTATCTTGGCCAACATGGTGAAACCCTGTCTCTATTAAAAATAAAAAAAAAAAAAAAAAATTAGCTGGGCGTGGTGGCACGCACCTGTAGTCCCAGCTACTCAGGAGGCTGAGGCAGGAGAATCACTTAAACCTGGGAGGGAGAGGTTGCAGTGAGCAGAGATCGCGTCACTGCACTCCAGCCTGGCGAAAGAGCGAGATTCTGTCTAAAAACAAACAAACAAACAAAAAAAACCACTGCATTTTTGGTCTATTTGTAATTACATCACATGAAAACAGCTGATCAGATTTTCACCAAATTTGGAGAATCCATTTGTGATCACTAGACCTCAAATAGAAGCATTGTGCTTGTTTTACATGGAATTTACTTCAGAGGGTCATAAGGAACTTCAAAGACATGGACAGATATCCTCCTGAGGAGCTAAAACAGAGGTGCATGAGCCTAAATTATTGACTGACCATAAAATATGTACCATGGACATTAAGATGTCGTGGTCAGAGGTAACAAATCTTACTTTCAAATTTAAGTCCCAGATTGAAAGTCAGAAGCATGAGACCCTTCCAATGACTACTTCTCCCACAGCCAATTCTCTGTAATAAGCGTGAGGTTAAATAGTAGGAATTCATTATTTAAATGAAAATTAAATCACTAATGATCTGTTTCACAAATCTAGGAATTAAAAAATAAAATAAAACACATATTTTGGCAACTTTAAAGGCACAAAGAAAACTGAAAAAAATGGACCATGTAGAGTAAGAAGTTCGTACACACTAAATGCAAGGCAGAGACAGATGGGTGAAACTAATGGAGCTTAAGTTTCAGGGCTCGTTTGCATTAGTCCCTTCCAAGTCTCTGGGGAGAGCTCTAGGAATGTGTTTATGTGGTCATATGTCCTGTTAATCTGCAATATTTTACACTCAACTGCACTCAGTCAAGACCACTCTGTCCCCCTCCAAAGTTCCTGTTCCCATACTCCCCTGCATGTCCAGTATTACTGGTAACTGGTACAGCCACAGACATTCCTGGGACCTTAAGGGTAAGTTGGACTGGGGGCACAATGAACTTGAGATTGATGGTGGATCTTCATGTGGTTTACAGTCACTTCCCTATATGGTTGAGTTACAGTTAGCTATCCTGGTCTAGAGATAGCTTCCAGGAATAACCCTATTGCCTTCTATGCTGACTCATCCAGTGTGGTAAAATGAAGGCATAAGGCCTGAGGCCATATCGTGACATAAATGTTTCCTGTGGCACTCAGCATCGGCAGTATGTGGGGAGTGGTGGAGAAACAAGGTTTAGAATGTATAGAGCCAGGAGCTGGTCTGTGGAAAAACCTTCCCAATTTAACAACTTAAAGTTTTTTCTAAATTTGACAATTCTAAAAATTTACATGATGATACCTAAAATGAGTTGCAAAACTGAAATAAACTTGCCTAAACTATCAATATTTTTGAAATATTTATATTAACTGTGAGCCACAAAAACCACATCCAACCTTAACAATGGGGTGAAGCCACTGTTAGAGACATTAGTGCCCCTTACCCTGCATAGTAGAGAAAGGCTGGAAGAACCTAGACTTGGAGGAACCAGGCTCTCAAGTGTCTCTGAGAGCCTCTAGGGAATGCTGCAGCAGCAAAGCAGAAGAGACTAGATAGCATTTTTGCAAAAGTGGACTCTGTATTTGGGAACTGGGCTTTTTGAAAAGTGGGGGCCTGGGAGTGTCTTGGCTCTAACTTACCATGTGAACATTTGAGGATGAAAAGTTTAGCATGTAGCTTTCTAGTAGAGAAGAACAGGAAAAATGTGAAACCTTGGGTGGAGGGAGAAAGAGGCACTGTGCTTTCTTTCTAACATCCTCTGTATTCTGGGAGAAAATGATTCTCCCAGAATTAAGACGTGGGCACCTCTACTTCTTTAGCAGAAAATGATATGTAAACCGAGGAAGGGAAAGCCTATGTTTCCCAGGCATATTTGGATCTATAATTATTTGAGGTCATGAACCCACTTATGAAAATAAATGACCAGTGGTTCTTCCTTAACATAATTGGGTTAAGAAAAGAAAGAAGCTTCTGGTAGAATTGCTCTTCCAGCTTAAAACTGCATCTGGAGCTGTTAGGATACTGAGAGCCAGCCCTCTCTAGCTGATTTGCCAGAAGGTGACTGTATTAGTCAGGGTTCTCCAGAGACACAGTACGAAATATACGTGTATATATATATACACACACACATGTGTATATATGTAATATATAAAGATATATATACACACATGTAGTATATGAGGATATATATATATATATATAGAGAGAGAGAGAGATTTGTATATTTATTTATTCTAAGGTATTGGCTCATGTGATAATGGAGACAGAAGTTTCATGATCTGTTGTGTGCAAGCTGCAAACTCAGGGCAGCCAGTGATGTAGTTCAAACGCCTGAGAGCCACAGAATCAATGGTGTAGATTCCAGACTGAATCTGAAGGCCTAAGAACCAGGAGTATAGAGGGTGGGAGAAGATTGATGTCCTAGGTCAAGCAGTCAAAGTTAATTCAACCTTCTTCCATTTTTTTATCCTATTCAGTCCCTCAGTGGGTTGGATGCCTGATGGCCATTCACACTGGGGAGGGCAATCTGATCTACTCAGTTCACCTCTTCAAATATTAATCTCTTAGGGAGACACTCTCACAGATGCACCCACAAATAATGTGTAACTAGCTATCTGGAGAACCAATGGCCCAGTCTAGTTGACATCAAATTAACCATAATAGTAATCCAGCTGGCAGGCTTCTTCCCTCTTTGCGTTGGAAGCCGAGGAATGTTCAGAAGGGCCTTTCCAGTCTTCTCAGTCCAAAAAGACTTCCATTCTAGAATTTCTGGGCAAGAGTTCCAATCATAGATCTTCATCTCAGAAGTCACCTGTGGCTTTCAGAAACGAAGCTGTAGTACAAAAAGATGAGCTTCAGAGCTAGGCAACCTGGTGAGGACCCCGGCTCTGCTACTTTCTAGCTCTACAACCTCAAACAAGTAATTAACTTCCTTGAATCACATTTTCCTCATCTGAAAGTTGCAGCACTCTTACACAGAAGGTGGTGCCTGGCACTTAAAAGTGTTCAGACATTTTTTAGTTCTGCGTTACCTCATCTACATATCCCCCCTCACTTTTCTTTTATTGTAGGTACTTAGACTCTTCAAAATGTACCTTCTCCCAATTTCATACTTTGGATTTTAAATATGGTGACTGAGCCTCCCTGATGGTTTGGATCTGTGTTTGGACCCAAATCTCATGTTGAAATGTAATCCTGAAACTGGAGATGGGCCCTGTTGGGGGGTGATTGGATCAGTGGGTTGGTTTCTCATGGTTTAACACCATTTCCCCTTGGTGCTGTTGTTGCAATAATGAGTGAGATCTGGTTGTTTGAAAGTGTGTGACAACTCCTCCTTCTCTCTCTTCCTCCGGCTCCAGCCATGTGAAGTGCTGGCTTCCCTTTGCCTTCCACTGTGATTGCAAGTTTCCTGAGATGTCCCCAGAAGCCAAGCAGATGCCAGCATCACATTTCCCGTACAGCTTGTGGAACTGTGAGCCAACTAAATCTTTTTTCTTTATAAATTACCCAGTGTCAGATATTTCTTTAGAGCAGTGCGAGAGCAGACTAATACACTGGTCTTTGGTATAAGTGGCCTGTTTCGTGTTTTGCCCATTTAGAATTACCACTAGAGATAGTGCTTCATTAGGAAAAGAAGTGGCCTCACTATATCATATAGCTCAAATTTGAATAATGTATGGACCAACTTTAAAGGGAAAAATTATCTCATGAACTTGCAGTGTTGACAAATTACTTTTGGTAGCATGTTATTTAAATACGTACAATATGAAACTAAACATAAACTCCATTTGCTTCTACTTCTCAATGATGTATAAATAGAAACTCAATTTGTTTAAATACAAGCAAACTATAAATGTAGTAAAATGTAAATCAACACTAACATTAATATGACAAATTAAGTTATTTTGCTGAAGCTAAATGGCCACTCTTTATGTTGTGGTGCATGCTTACGGTACTATGTGTCATATAATTACTTCATTCTCTCACCACTTTTCTCTATTACAAGTACTGCTAATCCTTTGTACGATGTGCTGTGGTGGTGTTTAGCCTTCACATGGTACATAATGATTAAAGTACATATTAAGTCTGCATGCCTTTGTTACTAGCTAGCTATAATTAAATTAGTACTATTTAATGACACTACCAAACATTTATATATTTACTTATTATGAGCTAAGCATTGTTTCAGTATATTAATTTATTTAATCCTCCTAACATTCCTATAAAAAGATATTTTAATTTCTTCATTTTACAAATGAGGAAATGGAGGCATAGAAAGACAAAGTAATTTGCCCAAAGTCACACATACAGTAAATTGCCGATTTGGAATTCCAAACCAGGTGACCTGAATCCAGTATTCTTATTCTTAACATATACTATTCTTTCGAATACACTGTAACATAGACATAAAGTGAATATGGACATTTAAAATATGTGGTTGAAAATACGTGATAGTATTCTGTTGTAAGTACTCCATGATCATGGAAATCATCTAGAATATGTCGTATTGCTTTTACTTAAGAATGCTATGGAAATAAACATTTTTT